TATGTTTAGGTATTTTCCTTGTATCCCTGCTCTCTCCAATACCTTTATCATGAAGGGATGTTGTATTTTGTCAAAGGCTTCTTCAGCAACTAGTGAGATGATCATGTGTTTTTTATTTTTCAGTTTATTTATATGATGGATTACATTGACATATTTTTGTATGTTGAACCATCCCTGCTTCTCTGGAATGAAGCTGACTTGATCATGGTGGATGATTTTTCTAATATGTTCTTGGATTCCATTTGCCAGCATTTTATTGAATATCTTTGCATCAATGTTCATGAGTGAGACTCGTCTGTAATTCTCTTTCTTGGTTATGTCTTTATTGGTTTGAATATGAGGGTGATTGTAGCCTCATAAAAAGAGTTTGACAATGATTCTTCTGTTTTTAATGTTTGGAACAATTTGAGGAGTATTGGTATTAGTTCTTCTTTGAAAATTTTGTAGAATTCTGACCTGAAACCATCTGGTACTGGCTTTTTTTCATTGGGAGACTTTTGATGAGTGTTTCCATTTCTTCGGAAGCTATAGTTCTATTTGAATTGCTTATCTGATCTTAATTTAATTTTGGTAAGTAATATTAATCGAGGAAGTTTTCCATTTCCTTTAATTTTTCCAATTTTGTGGAGTACAGTTTTCAAAATATTACTTAATGTTTCTCTGGATTTCCTCTGTGTCTGTTGTTATTTATGTCCCCCTTTTCATTTCTGATTTTGTTAATTTGGATTCTCTCTCTCTCTCTCTCTCTCTCTCTCTCTCTCTGCCTTTTGGTTAGTTTGAATAATGGTTTGTCTATTTTGTTCATCTTCTTGAAGAACCGGGTGTCTTTGTATTGTTTTCTTTGTTTCTATTTTGTTGATTTCAGCTCCCAATTTGATTATTTCCTGCCACCTAGTTCTCCTAGGTGAGTTTGCTTCTTTCTGTTCTAGAGTTTTCAAATGTTCTGTTAATTTACTAGTGTAGGATTTTCCAGCTTCTTTATGTAGGCATTTTGTGGGCTTTCTGGAAGTAGTGTTGCTATTCAATTCTAATTTTAAGCCATGGTGATCTGATAAGATACAGGGTGTTATTCCAAGTTTTTTGTATCTGTTGAGGTTTGTTTTGTTACCTAGTATGTGATCAGTTTTTGAGATGGTTCCATGAAGTGCTGAGAAGAAGGTATATTCTTTTATGTTTGGATAGAATGTTCTATAAATGTCTGTTAAGTCCATTTGAGTCATAACATCTGTTAGTTCCCCTATTTCTCTATTAATTTTTTGTCTGACCGACCTGTCCAGTGGTGAGAGTGGAGTGTTGAAATCTCCCACTATTAGTGTGTGGGGTTTAGTGTGTGGTTTAAGCTTTAGAAGTGTGTGTGTGTGTGTGTGTGTGTGTGTGTGTGTGGTTTTTTTTTTTTTTGGTTTTTTCGAGACAGGATTTCTCTGTTTTTGGAGCCTGTCCTGGAACTAGCTCTTGTAGACCAGGCTGGTCTTGAACTCACAGAGATCCGCCTGCCTCTGCCTCCCAAGTGCTGGGATTAAAGGCGTGTGCCACCACTGCCCAGCCTAGAAGTGTTTCTTTTACATATGAAGGTGCCCTTGTATTCAGGGCATAGATGTAGAGTGTTGAGATTTCCTCTTGATAGATTTTTCCTGTGACTAATATGAAATGTCCTTCTTTGTCTCTTTCGAATGATTTTAGCTTGTCTGTTTTGTTAGATATTAGGTTAGCTACACCAGCTTGTTTCTTAGGTTCATTTGATTGGAAAATTTTTTTCCCAACTCTTTACTCTGAGGTGATGTCTGTCTTTGAGGTTGAGGTGTGTTTCTTGTATGCAGCAGAAGGATGGATTCTCTTTTGTATCCAATCTGTTAGCCGATGTCTTTTTATAGGTGAGTTGAGTCCATTTATATTAAAAGATATTAATGACCAGTGATTGCTGACTCCAGTTATTTTAGTTTTTGTTGGTGGTGAAGTTATTTTTTTTAATGTTTTTCTTTTCTTTAGGATTTTCTGCTGTGAGGTCATCTATTGTCTGTGTTTTTGGTGATGTAGTCAACTTCCTTGGGTTGGAGTTTTCCATCTAGTACTTTGTGTGTAGGCCTGGGTTTGTGGCTAGGTATTTGTTAAATCTGGTTTTGTCATGGAACATCTTGTTTTGTCCTTCTATGGTGGTTGAAATTTTTCTGGGTATAGTAGTCTGGGCTGGCATCCTTAATGGACTCTTAATGTCTACATAATGCAGGACCTTCTGGCTTTCATTATTTCTATTGAGAAGTCAGGTGTAATTCTGGTAGGTCTGTCTTTATGTTACTTGACTTATTTCCTTTGCAGCTCTTAATATTCTTTCTTTATTCTGTATGTTTAATGTTTTGATTATTATGTGGCAGGTAACTCTTTTCTTGATCCAGTCTGTTTTTATGTTCTGTAAGCTTCTTATATCTTCATAGGCATATCTCTCTTTAGGTTGGGAAAATTTTATTCTACGATTTTGTTAAATAAAAAAAAAGTAAGGCATCAGTAAGAACATCATCTGATCATAGCAACCATTAACCCACTGATCTTGCTGCCATGAGACACCACTGCAGGCACTTTTAACTAGGGCAACCAAACAAAATTTGAAATACCCCCATTCATAACTCATCTCATGGTATATTCAGTTTACTGAACCAATTTCAGCTGCCTATGATGTCAGGGTTTTGGAGAAAGATTTTTGTGGCCTGTGTCCTGCTGTGTTGAAAGCTGAGGCTCTGGATCCCACACAGATTCTAGAATAGAATGTTTCTTTGAATCTAAAAGGGTTTTTGGAAAGTGGATGTTGAAAAGAGTATTAAAAATTATTTCTACCAAAAAATATATATATATTATATATATAATATATATTTTATATATATATTATATATATATATAAATATATATATATATATATATATATATATATATATATATTTTTTGTGCCTTTGAGTTGGACTTTTCCTTCTTCTATACCTAACATTCTTAGGTTTGCTCTTTCCATGGTGTCTCATACTTCCTGGACATTTTCTGTTAAGGTTTTGTTAGATTTCATGTTTTCTTTTACCACTGAGTCTATTTCCTCTGTTGTATCTTCAGCAATTAAGATTCTCTCTTCTGTCTCTTACATTCTGCTGTTTATGCTTGCATTTGTGGTTCCTGATTGTTTTTTCATGATTTCTATTTCTATAATTCCCTCGGCTTGTCTTTTCTTTTTTGTTTCTATTTCAGTTTTCAAGTCTTGAATAGTTTCTTTTATATGTTTGATTGCTTTTTCTTGGTTTTCTTTAAAGAATTTGTTGATATTTTCCAATTATTTGTTTGTCTTTTCCTCCATTTCTTTGAGGGAATTTTTTATTTCCTCTTTATGGGCATCAAACATCCTCCTAATGTTATTTTTTTCAGTCATTTTCTTCTGCCTCATCTATATTTGGTTGTTCAAGTCTTGCTGATGTATGGTCACTAGTTTTTACTGCTGTTGCGTTGCTCTTTGTGATGTTGCATGCGCTCTTACCTCGTCTACCCATCTTTTCCTCTGATTGGTGTAGGTGGGGCTGTCTGTGACTCTGGTGATCAATATACCAGGTTCCAGTGGATCCAAGGGTGAGATGGTTGCTCCTCGTGGTGCAGTCAGGACCACGGTTCCAGTAACCCCATTGGTTCCTTGGTGTTCCTGGAGGTTGCCTGGCACTCCTGTGGTTTGCTCTGCTATACCAGGGGTCATATGAGCCTGCTCCCACAGAGATAGCTTGCTTGGGGCTCTTTCTGCTGAGGTTGCTGCCCTGGGCCTGATCTGGCAGAGGTTGCTGGCTCAGGCTTGCTATGTCATAGGTTGCTAATTCACTCCTGGTCTGGCAGAGGTCTCTGGTTCAGGTCTACTCAGGTGAGGGGTTTCTTACAGGAGCAGAAATGACTCAAAGACAGCTGCATCATTAGAGCCCAGCACAGCTCACAAAGCCATGACTCTGGAGCACACAGCAAAGTCTGCAGTCATCTCAGCAGGTTGGAGAGTGTTTTTTCCCACATAGCTCTGGTCTAAACCTCTTCCAGGAAACTCGGTTGGTTTCGGCTTCTTCTGTGTCCATGGTCTGTTTTCATCATTGCAGCTTGTCTTGTATTAGAGTCAGTGCTGCTTTTCTGAGTCTTTGCTGCAGGTCTCTTCTGCTGGTCTCAAAGAAACTCTCAGTAGTCTTTATTGATTACTCCAGTGAGTGGGGGGGGGGGCAATCCTAATGAATTTGATCAGGTTCAGTGACTTCCCAGAGAAGGCAGTGGGGGTCATTTGTAAGTTCTCTCTTATTTCTGTGTGAATGTCTGTGTTTCATGTCTCCCCTAAAGCTAAGAAGAAGAAAGTACTGAAAAAGAGAGAGCATGAAATGGTGGTTGATAGTAAACCTGTGGATCTTTTCCTGGAAACCATGAAAAAGTCAGTGGAGGACCTGAGACCCAGATGTTCATCTTTGTCCCAGGCAGCTGAGTCTCCAACCTTCAGACGTTTACCTTGGAAATTGCCAGCTGATGCTTCAAGCTCTAGGCCTCGATCTTGGGCACAGCCAGCTGAGACTCCAATCTCCAGACGTCCATCTTTGATACTGCCAGCTGAGACTCCAAGATGTATACGTACATCTTTGACACAGCCAGCTGAGACTCTAAGCTCCAAATGTCCATCTTTGACACAGCTAGCTGAGACTCTAAGCTCCAAACGTCCATCTTTGACACAGCCAGCTGAGGCTTCAAGCTCTAGACCTCGATCTTGGACACAGCCGACTGAGGCTTCAAGCTCTAGACCTCGACCTTGGACACAGCCAGCTAAGGCTTCAAGCTCGAGACCTCGATCTTGGACACAGCCGGCTGAGGCTTCAAGCTCTAGACCTCGACCTTGGACACAGCCAGCTAAGGCTTCAAGCTCGAGACCTCGATCTTGGACACAACCAGCTGAGGCTTCAAGCTCCAGACGTCCATCTCTGAGACAGACAGCTGAGCTCCAAGCAAGCAAGATTTCAACAGCTATGGCTTCCAGTTCCTGCCCACCATCCCCACTACTAGTTAGGCTCCAGAAGTCCATCACCTGCGTCCACAGCAAACTAAAAATATACTTTGAAAGCCAGGATTCAGAGGGAGGAGAATGCAGTGTTCAGCCTGTAGGACACCGTGCCCCAAACACATTCGAGGTGTACTTCTCAGAAAGGGCAGGTGAGTTGGGACAGAAGAACCGGGCCAGGGTCAGGTGCAAAGGCAGACCATGCAGGTGTCCAAACAGACCCATTCATGCTTCCGAAGAGAGCCCATGGCAGTGTGGCACTGCCCTTGGTAGCAGCTGCTGCACACAGACTTTCTCCATCCCTTAGTGGGGGACAGAGCCTTAGGTGTGCCTGGCCTTGACCTGGTTTGGTTGTTTCCTAAGAATAGCTTCCGTTTGCTACCTGAGTTGCCCAGTTTCCCAGCAGACAGTCTTGAGTGGAGAAAGAGAAGTTGGGATGAGGATTGGAGCAGGAATCCAGAGTCCTGTGCTAGCCAGGCAAGTGCTCCTCCAACTGAGCAACACCCAAAGCTCCTTTCTGTTGTAAATAACGATTCCATTTACTTGTTTCTAAGGATTACAAAAGTAATCTATGATCACTTAAAAAATTTAAAATCCCGTTGGTGGTGGTGCACACTTTTATTTCTAGCATTCTGGAGGCAGCGGCAGACAGATCTGTGTGACTTTGAGGCCCTCCTGGTTTATAAGAGCTAGTTCCAGGACAGGATTCAAAGCTACAGAAAATCCTGTCTCCCTGCAAAAACCAAAACCAAAAAAGAAAAAAGAAGAAGAAAAAGGAAAAAAATCCCTGCAGATGCACAGTGGGAACATGGGAAAATTCTCATGTATTCTTTTCTGTGAATCAGCTAATTTATGTACATTTAAATCATTCTATACTTTTGGGTTATTAGTTTGCAGGAGTTTCCCAACTTAAATATACAGGAAATATTATTCTGTGTCATAGAAAGGAGAATTCGAGACTATTACAGCATAAGTTTGTTGTCACCTCTCTGAGACAGAGTCTCATTATGTGTTCTTGGCTGGACTTGAACTCATGATCCTCTTATCCTTATCTCTACCATTAAAGTGCTAGGAATATGGGTGTATACCATCATGCCCAGACTAGAAACCTGGCTTCTAAAAAACAAATGATGTTCTGCAGTAAAAATTTAAGCTGCCTACTCTTGAGTTCCAGATAACCTTCTCCCATCAACAACCTGCTATTCTAGAATGCCAGACACAAGTGCTCAGGTCTTTGTTTTTACTGGAATACAAAACTCTTCCTTGGGAAACAGAGCACACATGTTCACTCATCTCATATAGGAATCCCACATCAGACCAAAAGAAGGATACCACCAAAGTCCAACACAGTGAACCAATGACTTTTATTAAGGTTACTTACAGGAGTATGGATGAGGGGTTACTTACGGGAGCAGAAATGACTCAAAGACAGCTGCAGCACCAGAGCCCAGCACAGCTCACAAAGCCATGACTCTGGAGCACACAGCAAAGGCTAAGGCAGCTCAGAAGTTTGGAGAGCATCCTTTCCACATAGCTCTGGTCTAAACGTCTTCCAGGCAACTCAGTTGGTTTCTGCTTCTTCCATGTACATGGTCTGGTGTCATCATTGCAGCTTGTCTTGTATTAGAGCCAGTGCTGCTTTTCTGAGTCTTCCTTGTGCTCTGTTCTTCCAGTTCAGACCGACTCTCAGCAGTCTGTATTGATAACTCCAGCAGGGAGGAACCTAGTGAATCTGGTCAGTTTCAGGGTCTTCCTCAAGCTATTTTAACTGGTTTACCTTCTGGCTTTAGGCGCTTGCCTTCAGGACAGTATGATTTGATCCTGAGAAAATTTAGACAGTAGTCCTACATCACAGGATTCATCCAACTAAACAATACAACATAATATGTATTTCCAGAGTGCTTACTTTGTGTGATGGATTAAAGTCATCTACAGATTCTTAAAAGTCTATGGAAGGCTAGGTATGGTGACATATGCCTTTAATCCCAGTATTCTGGATGTGGACATAGCAGAAGTTTGTGAGTTCAAGTCTAGCCTGGTCTATTTATGGAGTTCCAGGGCAGTAAGAACTCAATAGTGAGACCATATCTCAAAATCAAACAGACAAAAACAAGTAAACAAAAAGCATATGGGGGAATATGGTGAGCTTGTGTGAAAGTCCTAAGCATATAAGGGACATCTCTGGATTTTGGTGTCTTCAGAAGTTCCTAGAATCAACTCAGAGAGGACACTGGGGGTCATCTGTAAGTTTGCTCTCATTTCTGTGTGAATGTGTGAGTTTTATGTCTCCCCTGAAGCTAAGAAGAGAGTTCTGAAAAAGAGAGACCATAAAATAATTTTTGATGGCAAACCTGTGGCCATTTTCCTGGAAACCACGAAAAAGCCAGTGGAGGACCCGAGACCCAGACCTCAGTTTGTGACACAGTCTCCGGATGAAGCCCTCTCTGATGAAGGGCCTGTTTATAATTCTGATGACACTATTGTCCAGGAGGTGAGTGTTGACAGAAGAGCTGGCACTGTTGCTACAACTGCCCCTAGGTCACGGCTTCTGCCCTTTTGGTCCAGCAGCCTTAGCTGGGCACTAGCTGTGAGCTAGGTGCTGCTCTAGGCACTGGGCAACAGAGGTGAATAAACAGGGACAAGATTCCTGTCCTCATGCAGCCTGTAGTGAGTAAGGGGGTCTGCAGACCGTAAGGAAGTGAATGAACTGAGGGAAAGCACTTCAAAGACAGAGGCGTGCTAGAATAAAAAAGGAGTTTTGCATCAGAGAGGTACAGGGTGAAGGCATGCAGGGGAAGATGGGAGACCTTCTTGCTGAGGTGACATTTAGCCTGAGGCTTAAATGATGAGAAGGCACCTGCCATTAAAAAAAGCATTCAACAAATAGAGAGGGACTGTTATGTGCCAGGCACTGTCATAGGGCTGGGGGCACAGGCACAGTGTGGACTGCTCTTAGGGCCTTGACATCGAGTAAGGGAAACAAAGCAGAGTAAACAGATGTATAATAGAATTCTCTCCAGTGACAAGTGCGGGAAGAATAAAGGAGGATGAGAACAGTGACAGAGCCAACATCCTAAACAGGGTGTAAACAAACAAACCCACACGATGCTTCATCTAGAGAACATGAGTAAATTAAAGTACCTAGTGTAGGGGTCCGAGGAAACGCTGAAGGAAGACCCCAGACTCAATCAGTATGTAAGAGCAAGGAGTATTATTATCAGCATATGTGTGGCCGTTCACCTGCACAAAACGGCGACGACCCCAAGGGGAGTGGGTAGGCTCCTTTTAAGCACAGGGAAGACGAGTTTCAATGACAATTAGGTCACCTCAAATACATTTGGTTAAGCAGGCAACAGTTATATTAGTACAATTTTTTTGGCTGTGGTTATAGTTTTTACCATTTTGCTCCATACTTGGGCAAGGCAGTCCATGTTTGTTTTGGTGAGATTACAGAACTGTCCATTTTGGTCCCTGCCTTGAGGTACTATGGAAGGTGCCTCAGGCCCGGTATGTGCTGTCTCCCTCATTGTCCTTTTAGGCAACTGAAACTCAGGCCCAGCTGTAAAATGGGAACACTTCAGACCTTTCTCTAGCTTCCTGGTTTTGTAGTAAGAATATTCTAAGCTGAGGGAAGCACATGCACAGGCCTCACAGGAACTGAAGCTCAATGAGGCAAGAGGAGTGGGGAGGCAGTGACCAAGGGAGAGAGCTAGGGACGAGAAAGGGTACTGTGAGACAGGGTGTAGGATTTTAACTCTGGTGGGGAACTTCACCTGATATTTTTGAGCCTCATGATAAGGGATCTTGTTGCACTTTTTAAAAGATTTATTTATTTTAGGTGTATGAGTGGGTGCTCTACCTGCATGTAGGACTTATTCTAGAAAGGAACATCAGAGCCCACTACTGATGGTTGTGGGAACTGAACTCAGGTCCTCTGGAAGAGCAGCAGTGCTCTTGACTTAAAAAAAAATAAAGCACCCAGATACACACTTTGTGATATATCAAGAGTCAATGACTTTAATTGGTTTGCCTAATCAGCCTCCAGAGACAAAGCAGTATGTCTTCAAAAGAATGGGACTGTCCACATTGTCTGAGGAGAGATTAAATGTGGATTACGAAACACCCATGGATATTGACAGGAATGATGCAAATGCAGCTTCACCTCCTCTCAGAGGCTCTGCTGACAGCTCTGGGGCCTTGAAGGTGAATGATAACAAAAATTCCTGTGCCATCTGCAAGTGCACCATTAGCAACAAGCGTGTACTCCCTAAGTGCAAGCATGAATTCTGCTCCTCTTGTATCACCAAGGCCTTGTCATTAAAGCCTGTTTGTCCTCTGTGTCAGATGTCCTATGGTATCCAGAAAGGGAATCAGCCAGATGGAACCATGACTTTCTCCACTTCAAGACAGTCACTTCTGGGTTATGAAGACTGTGGCACAATTGTGATTCAATACATTATAGAAAGTGGCATCCAAACAGTAAGTGTACCAGAGAACGTGAGTTTCTTTTGGCTCTGTTAGAATTACCAGTACCCAAGGGGTCGTCCTGTAGCCTCTTAGATGCTGATTTTCCCGGGAATTCATTCAGTGATTGTGGTAGGGACATAATAGCTAGAGGCCATACTGTTTGCTTAGAACTTGGATGTCTTTTCAGCTATTTCAACAGTGTTGGGGCTGAACCCAGCCCCTTGTGTATGCCAAGCAAGCACTGCCAAGCTGTCCATCTAGACTTTCATGTCTTTTTTTTTAAGGTAGAGACCATATGTCAGGATGGGAGGAGTTTGGTGGGTACGACTGTAATCTGAAGAGGAGAACTATGAATTATTCAGAATATGAGCAAAACAGCATTTTCTTTTTGGTTTTCAGTAGGCTTTACTTATAATGCATACACCTTTAGTATAGTAAATTTCAGAGGCATGCCATTATTTTATTTAACATTTTCCTTTCCTCATACAGGATGAGCACCCAAACCCAGGAAAGCCTTATAGTGGAACACGACGAACTGCATACTTGCCTGATAATCAGGAGGGAAGACACGTCTTGGGTCTGCTTAGAGAAGCCTTTAACAAAAGGCTGATTTTCACAATACGAGACTCTCGAGTACCAGGAGTGTCTGATGTCGTTACATGGAATGACATCCATCACAAAATATACACGTTTGGAGGACCAAGAAAGTAGGAACCCTTTGAAATGCAATGGTTGCTGAACAAAGTATAGGGGTGTTAAGTGCTGCAGTTTGAGGCTGTGGTCTGAAAAGGCATTCCAGCAGTAGATGTTACCCCAGTGTCTTAGCGAGGGTTTCTGTTGCTGTGATAACCAAATCACCCAGGGAAGAAAGGGTGTATTTGGCTTACATCTCCTGAGACACTGAGGGAAGAGGAGGCAGGAACTCAAACCAAGCAGGAAACTGGAGGAGCTGATGCAGAGGCCATGGCAGGATGCTACTTCATGGTTTATTCCCCATAGCTTGCTCAACCTGCTTTCTTATACCCACCCATGACCACCAGCCCAGGACTGGCACCACTGACAATGGACTGGGCCCTTCCCACATAAGTCACTAATTATGAAAATGAGCCAGGTGGTGGTGGCACATTCTTTAATTCCAGCACTAGGAAGGCAGAGACAGTCAGATCTCTGTGAGTATGAGGCCATCCTGGTCTTCAAGAGCTAGTTCTAAAACAGTCTCCAAAGCTACAGTGAAAACCCTGTCTCAAAAATCCAAAAAAAAGCTGGAGAGATGGCTCAGCGGTTAAGAGCATTGCCTGCTCTTCCAAAGGTCCTGAGTTCAATTCCCAGCAACCACATGGTGGCTCACAACCATCTGAAATGAGGTCTGGTGCCCTCTTCTGGCCTTCAGGCATACACGCAGAAAGAATACTGTATACATAATAAATAAATAAAAAAATCCAAAAAAAAGAAAAAAGAAAAATTCTAATCTATAATGATAATTTCAAAGAGAAAAAATTGGTTCAAGCTGGGCAGTGGTAGAACATGCCTTTAATCCCAGAATTTGGGAGGTAGAGACAGGTGGATATCTGAGTTTGAGGCCGTCTTGAAAAAAAAATTGATCCCTCCAACCTTCTACTTTGCCATTCATAATGTATGACTTGGTTATTAAATTTTGCATCAAAGCTGGGCAGTGGTGGTGCACACCTTTAATCCCAGTACTCAAGAGATAGAGGCAGGTGGATCTCTAGTTGGAGGCCAGCCTAGTCTGCAGACAGAATTTCATGACAGTCAGGTCTACACAGAGTAACCTTGTTTCTATGCCACTCCCAAAAATGCATCAAAAGATGGGGTTTCAGAACCCAAGATGAATGGTGCCCAAGTTGATTTAATTTTAGTGTTTCAGGTCAATTTTAAAGGTAGATCCTAAGAATATTTGCTTTGACTTTTTAAAAAATATTTATTTGCTTTTATTTACATTTTTGCTTTGCCTACATTTATGTCTGTGTGAGGCTGTCATATCCCCTGAAGTTACAGACAGGTGTGAGCTGACATGTGGGTGCTCTTAACCTCTGAGCCATGTCTCCAGCCCTGCTTTGGTTTCTTTTAAGGTCATCTTACTCTTCCTCACTCACATCTTTCCATAAGTCCACAAAGAGGCTAAATTCACATGGATGAAACATGATGGAAAGAAAGTCTTCATGATAAAGAATCCCAAGATGGTGGGAGATGTTCCCAGGAAATCTGACTATACTTTATAAATCTCAGAGTTCCTGTACTTGTGGCATCCAAAAGAAAAATATCCTGAGACCTTGTCAAGTTTCCCATTTTGAAAGTCCTACTATCATATGATTACCTTCTCTGTAGAATTTGGCTTTTATAACATTATGTGCATCAGTACTCAGAATGAGCTAAGGTGTTAAGCAATCTGTCTGGAAAACAGATGCTGGTCAGGGTGCTGGGCACTTCAGTGACTAGATACCAGCCACTGTCTGATTGTCTGAGAATGCTGGATACCAGCATACTAGATGCTCAAGTGTAAATTGTTCAGATTTTGTTGTTGTTGTTTTGAGACAGGATCTCACTGTGTGGCCCAGGCAGGCTTCAAACCCACAGAGATCCGACTGCTGTCACCATCCCAATGCTGGGATTAAAGGCCTGTTTCACCATACCTGGCTATTGTACAGATTTTTGAGAATTATTGGAAGGAAGCTAACGGGATTCCTTTTTCTTCATGCAGTTTTGGCTACCCTGATCCTCATTACCTGACGCGTGTGAAGGAGGAGCTGAAAGCAAAAGGAATTGAGTAAGGAATGCGCTGGGAAGACATCTGTCCACTTTCAAAAGAAGTGTGATAGGAGGCCGCTGTAGGACAGGCCTCAATCGTTTTGTAGAATAAACTTTATAACAGTTTTCATGTTAAGTAGATGTAGTTTCTTATAAAAGCAGAAGTCTGCTTGCCGGTCATTTCTAGAGTGTTTCTCTTTCTTGAAAGGCAAAATATGAAGGGCATGTGCTGGGGAAATCAACCATAACATGTGAAGACGTGAGCTCAGACCCGCAGCATCCATGTAAAAGTTGGTGCGATGGCACACACTTGTAAGCTTAGCCCTGGGGAGTGGAGACAGAAGGATTCCTGGACCTCACTGGCTAGTTAGTCTAGCCCAAACCCAAACCATGGGCTCCAGGTTCACTGAGAGACCTTGTCTCAAGAAATCAGGTACATCTGGGCATGGTGGCGCATGACTTTAATTCCAGGAATTGGGAGGCAGTGGCAGGCCATCCCAGGCCAGCTGGTCTACATAGCCCAAGTTCCAGGACAGCCAGGGCTATATAGTGAGACCCTGTCTCAAAACAAACAAAACAAATATGAGGTAGACAGAAATAAAGACATCTAACATCACCCTCTGACCGCTAAATGCACCTGTATATACATTCATATGTGCACACACACACAGACAGAAAAGTTTTAGGACAGAAAAACATAAAGGATTTCAAATTTTTGTGAGGAAGTCTGATCTCATTCCTGTGTTCTATTGGGGGTGCTGCCCTGTATGAAGTCACCTTCTCTATCTTTTATTGAACAGCTGGCAACTAGTAGAACCTCTCCTCTGCTTGTTTTGCTTGATACATGGTCTCTCTGTGCAGCTTTTGAACGCTCTTTTTGGACCAGATTGGTCTTGAATTTCCATCTGCCTTCATCAGCCTTCTGAGAGCTGGGGTTAAAGACTTGTGCTACATGCCTGATTGTATTTGTTTCTTTGGGTTTTTTTTTTTTGGTCCTTGCCTTTTGTTTTTGGTTGGTTTGGTTGGTTTGGTTTTGGTGTTGGTACTTAAGCCCAAGGTAAATTTGTTCCATTCCAAGACCTTTGATCGTGTTCCATGGCCATCATTCTCGTAGTATGTTAGTTGTTTGGTTTTTAATCTCTGCCTGTAAAAGTAAAACCCTGTGTAAATGGGAAAGTGAAACCATTGTGTAAATGGGAAGTTTAAAAACAGGATTGACTGGAAGAGACCCCACTTCCCTTCCTACAGTGAGAAGCATGCCCAGGAGGTCAGGCAACCTTTGATAATAAGTAGAACAGGAAAAGTCTTATTTTTCTGGATACAGAACCTATTAGACAGTTGGTGCTTAATGTGTGTTTGTTGTCTGACTCAACTCAGCAGAGGGATGAGCACATAAAAAGATGAGCTCCTCAAATCTTTGGCAGAAGTAGGACTTTGACATTCATTTAGAAAACATTCTTACCCCAACATGTATTGGTGAGACTCTGGCCAGGCCTTTATCGTAGGCTCTACTCTTCCTGATCCTTGGAATCAGCCTCAAAGGGTGCACTCGCCACAGACATAAACATGTATGTTTTCCACATTTTACCCCCATACATTATGCTGTGCTTTTGAATATGTTCTGTTTTACATTTAACGGATAAATAACCTTGCCTTAGTTTAAAATTTTCTAATACTGTTACCTGAAATATAGTGGATTTTTTATTGTTTGTTTTTTGGAGTATGTTCTGGTTTTGGTTTTTGTTTTTGTCTTACTTTTTGGTTTTTCTTAACCCTTTGACTCAATCCCACCCATCTATGTTGTCTCTCTTATAGTCTTTCTAATCCTTTCCCTGGACGTGAGTAAAGAAGAGCTAAACCTCCTGAAGAGTCTGTCTGGCATGTCACAGTTCACTGTAAGCAGGTTCCATGTCAGAAGAAATCCCTAGTAGTGATCTGAGTTCCACCCATCTCTCCAAAATGGCAGATGACATGTTTTGAGCTCTTCCTGAGACACACATGCACACATAAAAATATTTGGCCAGATCATAGTGGCAAGCATTTATTGAGTAGTTTCTCTACATGTACCTTATGTTGATGTGATCAATACAATTAGTAGCTCTAGTCTTTCAACAGAAAACTGGTGTAGAGAGTATTAGTCAATCACCAAAGGTAACATATTTACTAAGGGGAAATGCTATTTTTACTTCAGTCCTGGTTTTGTTTTGTTTTGTTTTGTTTTGTTTTGTTTTGTTTAGAGACAAGGTCTCATGTGGCCCACACTGGCCTCATCTTATGTTCTTGAACTCAGACCCTCCTGCTTCACCTCCTTCCCAAGTTCAAATACCCAGGCTGATCTCCTGATCTCTCTCTCTCTCTCTCTCTCTCTCTCTCTCTCTCTCTCTCTTTCTCTCTCTCTGTCTCTCATAACTTGTCATGAAACTCAGTCTGTAGACCAGACTGGCCTCAAACTCAGAGATCTGCCTCCCTCTGCATCCCAAGTGCTGGGAATTAAAGGCCCTGACACCCTCTTGTGATGTCCGTGGATTCCAGGCCCACACATCATGCACATATATACATACATACATACATGGCAGGTAATAGTCATACACATAAAAGTAATAAAAAATTTAAGAAATGTACTTCATATACACAATTCAATATTATTCAGACCCCTCACTATGTTTGAGAGAACAACTCTGATCTAATCTCTTTTATGAGGTGGCCTTTGGTGGCCTCCTGATGCCCAAATATTGCTTTGTAAACTTGGTCATAGGTAAAAGTCAACTGGATACAGAGCTGGATTGATCCTATGTGGCTAAGAGTTCTTGAAGGTTCAAAATCACCTGTAACTCTAATACCTGGGGATCTGGCACCTTTTCTGGCCTCCTGGGCACCTTCATTCATATGTGACATGCATGTGCATGTCATACTTTTTTAAAGGGCTCACCTGGGTAAAGATTGTTATTACCTACCTCCAGTGTTTCTGACCCAGTAGGTATGCGAATAGACACAAGAAGGTACACTTCTGGCAAGTTCCGAAGTAATGCTGAGGCTGCTCGTCTGGGGACCACATTTTTAAGAATCACTGGCCTAAAAATAAAATCTCAGTTCTGCACCTAGCTTGGCCACAGAACACTTTTTACTCTGTTTTGCTGTCTTCTTATCTCTCACTCAGCACAGCACCCTATGGTCCATTCCACACCAGAACATCAGTTTTACCAAACACTGGCTGTCCTTTTGTCCTTCTGGTCTTTGTCCTGCATATTTCCTCTTTGGAATGTCCCTCTGTTTTGTTCCTTTCTGAGGAGCTACCTATGTAGAGAATGGTTTTAAGCAAAGCACATGGGAAGCAGAGTTACGCAGATCTCTGTGAATTCAAAGCCATCTTGGTCTACACAGTGAGTTCCAGGACAGCCTAGGATGTGATCCTGACTAATGAGACCTGTCTCAAAAAACAAACACAACAATAAGAAGGAAGTCGCCTACTAGGGAGGCTGAGTGTTCCCCAGTCCACAGCTAGGGTGCACTCCAACCTAGGTTCTCATGGTATCCACAAGGTTATGCAGTAGATCAACTGACATTTAGAAGGCCAACCCACCAGAGACTTATACTGGAGGTTAAGATCACTTAGGCATGGCCTATGAAAAACACTGCCTTTGGAATTGCTGGCTGTCTCTAACTGCAGATTCTCTTATGACAGCATGTTCCCCTGCTGTGGATTCCTCATATGTTGGGCAGAATTTTCCTGTGTTCTCTTTGTAGGATGACTTTTCCCCAAACTGTATATCCTCAGAAATAAAATAAGACAGTCAAACCTTTTGTCCCACACTGCCATAAAAGAAAAGCTTAGAAGCCTGTTCTCCATAATTACCTCCCTGACAGGATGATTGGGCCAGAGGGAAGTCCTTCTGGAGAGATCACAGGAGGAAGTTTCACAGAGTGGAATTGCTGGTGTCTGACCTTGCTAGATCTTGTCCTTCAAGATTTCTGATGAATTAGTGTGGTATTTTAAATGTCTATCTTTGGTGTATCATAGTCCTTCAGGAGATCAATAGCACCTAAGCGACCAACCATGTCCAGGTATTATTAATCACACTTAAGAAATGTAAAATATTGCACATATTATTTGCTTTTTCCTTAGATCTCTCAATGGTTTGGTTTTCTCCCTTTATAACCTGTTGCAGCCCCTTTTCCAAAGCAACAAGTTTTCTTTCGACCCAAATTTTGAAGTAAAGATACATTTAAATTATACATGTTAGTTTACCTAAGCATCCCACACAATGAAATATATCTCTGTTCTTAGCTCCTTCAAAGTCAAAAAATTCAATAATAGACATAATCCAGACTCTCTGTATATATTCCATCTTTACGTGGCTTATTTTTCTTTACTCCTTTAATCTATGACTGCCTGTACTCTGTCTCTTTAAAGACTTTGTTTTATTTTTTTAACCATTTACTTCTTCTTATGAGTGTCTATATTCTTTTTCTTCTCTCTCCCAAGACTACGTATATTTATACAACACTCTGACCCATTAAGACTTTTTTAAAAATCTGGATCTGTCTTTACTTAGCATCTGTAATTATTTTCTGACCAGAAGCACCTTTTTTTTTGAACAAAAGCAATGATTTATTGGTAATGGCAACAAATAATAGATTAACAGTTTCCGAAGAGAATCAAGCAATTATCCAGGAGCTGCAAATCTGACTGCAGTTAAGTCTTCCAGTGTCTTTTGTACCCTAATGACTTTCTCCTTTTTTGCCAACTACTCGTTTGAAGTCATTCATATTTGTTGCCTGCACTGGAGTACCAATGAAAGTAAAATATGAAATTCTCATTGTCTCTTCTTCACCTTGATTAGACTGAACGAATAAAGTTACACTGTTAACATTCTGATATTTAACATAACGAAGAGGGACAATGCCATCTTCTTTAATGTCATCTTCTGTCAGTTCCAGAGCTTCCCAGCCTCCCATTTCCCTCCCCCTCCTCCCACCCTTCTCCCCCGCCCCCCACTCCTTTCCCCTTCCCTCTCCAGTCCAA